CCATTGCGCGCGCTCGCGGAAAAGGCTCGGCAGTCTCGATGCGAGGTACGAGGGCATCTTGAAAGGGCACAAGGAGGGCGTCGAAGACTTGCAGGCGTGCAGTCCAAGACTTGCGGGCTGCAATTGTTCATGAGCACTTAGGAGCAATTGGAGCAGTTGGGGAAGGATGTCCAGGACTTGCATCGAAGCTTGGTGGCACTTAAGCTTGACAAAGCGCCAGAGTTGCTTGCAGAGTTGCCACTTCTCCCGTCAAACCTGTCACCTGTTTGGTTGCCACTGGCACTCAACTCGTCCCTCGCTAGTTTTTGCCACGAGACATTTCTGTGAGCCAAGGACATTTAGCCTATACTCCGCCGGAGACGAAGGAGCTCAGCGCAGGCATGGCGATGTTTCACAGATGGCGCAGAATCCCTTACCCAGAGAGAGGTTCGATTGCCGAATTCACTTGCGTCGCAATGTTCAACAGGGACAGGGCTCAAACTCACATTGAACCGCAGATTCGCGTTCTCCGCAGTGTCATTCTGCCGCAAAGATTTACTGTTCCTAAGCCAAGAAAGTCTCAATGAAGAAAAGTGCTCAGGAGTGTGACAGTACAGTTGCTGCAAAACTGCCCAATGGAATTTGGTGAATCCTTCCTCTCCTTTGGTTACTGCTTCAGGTTGGGTCAAGTGCTCTGCTCCTGAGCGATGCGAGACTCTTTCAAGTTGAAAAGTGTGGCTCAGTGGACTCAGGGCGCCTTCATCGCAGCCTCTTCAAAGAGCGTTGGTCCTTTGCTCCTATGGGCTAAAAGTGTCAGCGCACGTCTTGCTTCGATTGCCATGAGTTTGCCCTGCCCCTTGACTCGCTTGATGTTGCACCCAACGAGGTCGACCGAGCTAACCGCGAAAGGAGGTAAAGGCTATCCCTGAAGCATAAATCATAGAATTCGACCTGCAGCTGCGGAATGGAGGGCACAAAAGACCAAAGCAGTCCCCCTTCTGTACCACGGCCACTACAGCAGAAAATGCAAAGGCGCCTGGTCCCTCAACCATCTCAGCCAGCTTTGGCACAAGCTGTGAACAGCGCTGGCGTTCAGGGTGCAGTGTAGTGGCTGTTGCGCTGTTGTGCCATTGGCTTTTTGGCCGTCAGCTTGCGACGCTTAGGAGTTTTGCGTAGCACCGCCTGGCCATGCCGATAAGGGTGCGCAAGAGTGTCATTCAGGTTGCGCGAAGTGTTGAGCCACGTTTCAGAGCCGCTGGGGGATGGTTCGGAGAAGTGTCACTGCCGCCCCCAAGCGCGCTCGATCGTTTTTTGAGCTTTTGGGCCAAGGGTGACGTTGGCGACTTCTGCGTGCTTTGGCTGTGTTGCCGAGAAGCGGTGCTCAAGTGTGTTGACAACCTCGCTTCACGCGCCGTTCAAACTTGTTGCTGGAGAGTTGCTCAAGAACTTGAGCCGCACTGTTTTTGTTTGCCTTGCCTTGCATCGCCGGCACCATGACGCCATGAGTCGCGCGTTGCGTCCATTCACGCATGGCTCTTCAAGTCTAAGACGGATGATAGCAACAAAACAACCACCGGTGATGAGAGGGAAGGCGCCGTGAGAAAGTTAAGAGGGTGCCGCTAGGCCTTCCTTTGGCGGTGCTGGCGGAGGTGGCCAAAAAGCTGCAGCCGGACACAAAGAGGCTGGTCGCTGAAATGGTCCACACAAATTATCATCATCTTCCTGTATTTTGAGACATACAATGAGAAGAAAACACCAAATTTTTGTTGCCTGGGGAACCTTCCCCCCCCCCCCCCCCATTTTTTAGACGGACCCAAATGCTTGGGCCGCGAAAAATGAGCCGTTGACGGGCTGCCAGGCAGATGCGGTCGCGGGCAGAGACCAGGCGCCTGCCTTGAAATTTGGCTCGTGCAAGCGTCAAGACATCGCGACTTGCAGCTTTGGTTGGTTGCATTCTTTTTGCCCAGATAGCTGAAAGCTATGGGGGTTCCAGCTTCCAACAAAGAGGCGAAAGTGATTTGCGACTTGTTTTGGGCTATCTGGGGTCTATGCTGGTGCAATTTTGTTTCAAGAGGCCTCACCATTTGCGACCCACAAGGTTGCCCAAGCCGATCGCACTATTTCTCGATCGACAGGGGCTGAACTCTAGCCGGATCGCGCCCGATTTGTTTTTTGCAGGTCTGTGTCTTTTGAGGGCACCCTTTGCAGGTTGGCTAGGGAAATCAGATGGACACCAATATGTGCCCCTATGACACATACCTGGTCACATCTTTTTTCTCTTTTGAAGAGATGGTGGCGACTCCAACGTCCAAAGGACCGATTGGAACCGGAAAGCGCGGACGAAGGATGGCTTTGTACAGAAGCATCCGTCGGGAGAAACAACAGGGGCCGGCAAGCGGCATGTCGGGGTACTGCCTGTTTGTCTGTTCGCCCTGGGACTTGTTTCAATGTTTCTGGCTTGCCACACTTGCGTAGGGTACAAGCTGTTCATGGCAGATGCATTTGTCGTGGGCCGAGCTGTGCAGGTCAGAAACTGAGACCAGAAAGGCCGTGCAAGAACAGAGGATATCATGATGCACCACTGACGACACCAGCCTCTCATCAGCTTTCACCGAAACCAAGCCCTCAAGCCTCAAGCCAAGCATCGCATAGGCACCCCGACAGCATGGCATGACCGTTCTGCGAGTTGCGTCGCCAGGCGCTGTGTTTGCGGGTGGCCGATTTCGAAGCGCACAGGATTTTACCGAATCGCATCAGATTGCCGCAAGCAGCGACAGGTTGGATGCTGGAGACGCAAGCATGAGGCGCTTCGGCTTTGTCAGTTTTTCGATGCTGCGTGCTGAATCGCGAGAGTTGCAAGAGAAGCAAACACAGAATGCGATCCTCCTTGATTGTATTCCAGGCTGACAAAGCTGGAAGGCGGGTGCCTGTTGGAGTTTGTGCCGCTGCGCAGGTTGGTTTCTGGATGTCAGCATAGGTTCTTTCAGTTCTATGTTCGATTCGATTGCATCTTAATTCTATTACAGCTTCTCAACAGCTTTGGATGCCTGTGCTGATTGGCTCCATGAGGCGCACCAAGTGGCTTGGACTCCAGTGAAACGACCGGTTCGACACTGGCTCAAGCTTGTTTGACCAGCTGAGCCAGAAGTTCGCATGCCCATATCTCAGGCATCCAGAATCGGTACTTGCCGAGCCAAGTTGCAATGCAAAATGCGTTTGACTAGCAAGCAGCGAACACGCAAGATAATCCCGACACAAGCAAGCCCCTGCACATTTTATCAAAGCATGCCAAAGCCAGATTTTCCATTTCGCCGCTTGTGGTATGCTGCCACGCTGGCAGACATGGATGCCTCATGCTTTTTGCCTTGCGGCTTCTGTTGTCGCAGGCGCGAACATCGAAAGTCACGCAGCCGGCGTGCAAGGGAGGGATCCCACAAACAGCCATCAGCACCTTTTTCCGCTTCAGTGACTCAATGCCCAACCAGACATGTTCCTCCCCTTCCCCCGTTGTTTTGTGTGTTTTCAGATCGCATTTCGAGTGGCTTGCGCGGGAGGCGTAGCCATTGCATGGCAACGGAAGGTGCGGAGTGTGCTGAGACAGGCGGGGCTTGCAAGTACCTGCGTGTAGCTTCAGCTCGCGTCCAGCTTCCAATCCGCATGACCTCTCTGTGTGTGTGTGTGCGCGCGCGCGCGCGCGTGTGTGTGTGTGTGTGTGTGTGTGTGTGTGTGTGTGTTTGCGTGTTTGCGTGTCGGTGTTTTTGTTTGATTTGTCTGTGTGTTTTTGTATGTGTTTTTGTATGTGTTTTTGTTTGTTTTTTTGTGTTTTTTGTTGTTTTTTGTCTGAGCCTTGTACATTTTTGCAGCAATCGCCAAACATCGCCAGGAATCAGAAGCAAACAATCGCCACGGGTTGATGATGAAGCAATGAAGAACGCCATGCTATGGCATTTCATTATTAGTGCTACCAACTCAGATTCGAAGGCTGACCCTTGAGCTTTTGAGCTGTAGCGTCTTTTCACAGCATCAGCATCCTTGACTTTTTGATGACATTCTTGGTGACCAGCGTCATGACATCGAAATTCCCGCTGTTGAGAACCTGCCTTGAGTCATCCCTGACATGGCAGGCTGCTTGGTTGAAAGCAAGATCTCATAGCTCTGGAATGATCCATACGTCGACTGCCAGAGTCCACGATGTGAATAGAGACTCGTAGAAAGTAACGACCAGAATCATTTGTTTTAAGCACTTTGTAGCTGGAGCGGATGGACTGTCACGGATTTTGATCAAGAAGTCACATGAACGAAAGACTGGCGCCCCATCAGCTGGTCTATCCTTGCGCTGGGGTCATTTGGCTTCCCAGTGGTATGACAATCCCAGGATTCGCCGAGTCCAGCTGAGTCCAAAACGCTTCGATTTCCCAACGTCGCACGCCCAATCCATGTGCAGTCCATGTGTCGTAAAACGTGCAGTCTATGCGCTCCTGGGGTACAAGGACATTTGGCTTTGGCAGTCGCAGCTGAAACTCCTTTCAGACAGAAATGCAGATGAGGGGGGCAAACATGTGCATATATACCTATATATATATGCACATATAGCATCTGTATCATTCAATGTCTTTTAAATACATGGTGCTGAGTTGCCAGGTTCCAACTCCCTATAGTGCAAACTTCAACAAAACTCCAGTCATCAGGCTGAAGAACCCTCTTTTGTCACAAACTCTAAGTAAACCATGAGAAGCATTGACAAAGAAGACCGCCCTCAGAATCATTCGAGTCCTCTGAGTCATTTGATCATACATCCAACCGGCACAGTGGCTCGAGCGCCGTTTCTCCCAGCTCCGGAAAAGCCCATACCGGGCTCTCGTTTGCGGAGGGGTGTCGTGCAGAGAAGATGCCTTGTTGAGGAGCAAAGAAGGGGATCCTCGGACATGTCCAGCTTGGCTTTCTGGGCTGCCCCACTGGAAAAAAGGGGCAGACTTTTGTGGAACGATTGAGCTTAGGCAGACGGGCCTTTCTTGTTTGCG